AGTGGTTATATCCTGGATTGCTATGCAATAGCCACATATTTCACATTTTTGTTGGTGTAACTGATAATCTGCTGGCAATCAGTATGCCCAGAGAACAAAGTAAGTCAGTCAGATCAGGATACTAGTTCTATTTAATTGGTTATATATATATATATATATATATATATATATATACACTGGTGAATTGTTTGTATTCATTTCTATACCCCCCCCCCTTCTACAGTTTAGCATGGTATAGAATATAGCTAGCCAAGCTGGCAAAGATCAAGTCTACTGACTTAGATAAATCCTCTTATAAAGGCATGTCAAACTCTAACAGAATCAAGAATAACTCTGCAAGTGCCCAGATTAATCTTTTAGGGACTGTGTGCACCTGATTCTAAAAAAGTCAAAAGTCTTTGCTGATTAACATACAACTCCCTGTGTGTCACATTTTTTGCATAGCTTGGTCTATGTGTAAATGTTGAAAGGAATAAAAAAAGCAAGTGAAAAAAACAAATCATATACTATCATTGCAGGTATTAGCCACATATAATAGTGTGATTAAAATTGTTAAGCCATTGGCCATCTTTAAAGTGAACTTGTTTCTGTTTCATTGTATAAGGTGATTTCTTATTGCATCCTGTTTCCTTAGTTGCTAGTATAGCTTTTCACTCTAAGGATATTTTGCTTTCACTAGTCAGTTTCTGGGAATATCCAGTTTAGGTGTATAAAGTGTATGTTACCCCAACCTTTCATATTCCTGATGTGTCTATTGTACCATGTACTTGTGTTAGAATTTGTTCTGTTCTCTTTGTGTTATTTCCTTTGTGTGAAATTATTGGTGATTCTGCCAGTCCCCTGCTTTTCTATTCGAAAATGATCACACTAAACATAGGAGCACATCCATCCTCCACCAGCCCCTCCACAGCTTTTCACTGGGAAGTTCAGTGAACTGATGTTTCTCTGCCTCCTAGTGACACCCCCCTGCAGTCTTTATCCTCACCTCTTCAAGCCTCTACGGGTAGGTTCACACTACCTGCGGAGAAAATTGATCCGTTTTTTTTTCTGTGCATAGTAATTGCAGCTGCTGCCATGGATGACGGTTTGCCTTGTGTTTTTACAATGCAAGGCACTGTTTCCCCTTTCTTCTAAACTTTAAAAGAGAAGTTCAGGATATGAAAAAAAAGCAACCCAGTTATACTCACCAGGGTGGATGCGGCATAGATCAGAAGCTGCATCTGTCCCAACCTCCTCTACACCAAGAACTGGGGAATCAAAGACCACTGATCACTCAGTTATCAGTCTTCACTGAGCAGAGAGCAGTGACTGTCAATCATGAGCTCTCTGCTTTGCCCCTCCAGCGCTCACTGGAGCACCTGGGCTTTTGAGGGGAGGGCTGAGAGGCTGACGATTAGGATCTGGGTGGATCCTGGCTCATTGACATCAGCCAAAAGAAGGCTTTAGCTCACTATTGGCTGAATACTGGTCACAAGAGTGCAAAACAAAGTGCACTCCTGTGATCCCCAGGAGAAGTGTGACCAAAAGAGCTTTGACCTTATTTACATCACAAAATGTCATTCCATTCATTTCTATGCACAGCCGCTCAGCAGCTGTGCATAAAAACAGATGGTTGCACAAAGACATGTTGCATTTTTTTTTTTTGCACCACTCTGCCCCACTGCTGCAAAGAAGCGTGAATGGCACACAGAAATCCATTGTGTTTTCTGTGTGCCCTTGTGGAGATAGAACAGAGGTTATGTGAAAAAAAATATTTATAACGTTATGGTATGTATATATATATATATATATATATATATATATGCAAATTTTTTTAACTGTCATTTTCTATTTTAACTGAATGGTTGCTTTACAAGGTGTGGGTTCACATATACTTTAACACTGTGCATTGTTGAATCAGATATATTTCATGGTATCTTACTGTGGATAACATGAGCCTTATGGATTTTTATAATGTCAAATAGCATAAAAACATGAGCACAGTTCCAAGAATATTATTCCATTAACTGCAGGAAGCGCACTTCTCACTGTAGACACTTTGTATGTGCATAGGGGCCTCAGTATTGTTGGACTTCTTACTCTGGTGCGTAATCATTTTTCATGTATTGTGGCTGTCCTCTTTGTACTATTTCTGGCAAGGCATCATACTTTGTCTAAACACTTAAACAAATGTCTTGTTTGACTGCTTACATTAACATTTCATATGTATTTTTAAAACAAACTTTGTCTATGCGTATCATGTTAAGACAAATAAATGCATTTTTAGTTCATATTGAAGAATCCAAGTAATACAGCCACAGCTTGAATGCCAGGCAGGTTTTATATCAGTTACTTTATCATTCAGTTTAGCTTGCACTGTGATGGAAAACAAGACACAAATTTGCAATACCAGTTTAAATAATGGTCTAAAAAACAGTATTGTTATATAATTCTACACATATATCTAATGTACATAGCTTTTCATTTTGGTTTTATTGAAAGTTTTCATTAGCTATAGCTGTGAAATTTTAGGTGTGACCATGTCAAGCTAGGCTTGGTTGACAGGGCATGCCTGTAGAAGTTGCACATCACCTGACATGTGACTGGAATTTTTTTTCCACCTTTGTTTGTCCCAGTGTTGTTTATATTGCATTGAAAAAGTGGTTCTAAAGCTTGGAGTTTTTTTTTTTTCTTTTTCTTTTTTACCTTAATGCATTCTCATTTTGATTCAGCTATGTGCACGAGAGCAGAGGCTCTTTACACTCTCCTCATTGGCTCAGAGACAGCAGCAGGAGCCATTGGTAATCACAGCCAGTGAGGAGGGAGATGGGGGTGAGCCTGAGTGCGCTCTGTATGTCTTTTGATACACAAAGCTGGCTCAAACAGCTTGCTATGGGGCACATTGGGTGTGGGGGGGAGGAACCAGAAGCACTGGCGGATGACCTGAACCCATTGCACATAGCATGTAAATGTAACATGTTTGTTATTTAAAAAAATATCCTCCATTACAATCACTTTAAAGTGCGATCCCTGCTAGAGTAATTTGTGTATAGAATCTCATGATATCTTTTGGGAGGAGCCTTAGTACATGATTTCACCTGCAGATGGGGGTCAGTTGTGGACACTTTCAAGCCCAGAGTAACCAAACAGCCAAGCTGTGCCTGAAGCAACCTAAAACTTTAAAAACAGTACAAACATATACATTAGGACATTAAAGCAGAACTAAACTGTATCTGAACACCATAAACTGAAAATGCTATTTATTCATTTTTAATATTCAAAGAAAACTCACTCACCCATGTCTCTATATTTTATTTTGTTGAGAAATCACTTTGAAAAACATCCCCTAGCATTTCTAGCCATGGTCATCTTGAGTAAGGGCAGATGATTCATGTAGCATTTACTTATTAGAATCCATCTGCCCTTAGCTCAAACATGCAGGCAGGAGGCCATTCCTATCTCAGAAAGCCTCTCCTCTCCTTCTCCACATGAAAGCAAAAATGCCTATGAAGACTCCTGGGATGTATGACATAATTTTGGCATAAGCCAGAAAGCAGAAAGCAACTGAAGAATTGTAAAAAAAAAAAAAGTATAAAAGAAAAAAATATATATATAATATGCCTTCCTATGTATTTAGTAATGCTAGTGGCATAAGGATTAAAAAAAACCTCTTTTTTTAAAAGAAATATTTCTTCTGTACTAAAATAGTAGAAGTAGTACCAGTAGACTCCAGCACAGATGGCCTACCAACAGAGTTCCAAAAAATTGAGCTTGAGTCATAGACATTGTGAACAAAAGCAAGATGTTGGAGATTACACTTGTTCCCCAGCCCCATGTGACAGTGGGCCAATAACACAGGACCTATTCCTGTCACATGGGAGAGGGAGAGTAAACTGTACAGGTGTACCTATAAGGCCCCTCAAGACTGCTTTTCAGCTCTACGCTTGCAGTAGATGAGTATGTGTGTCACAAAAAAGCTGAAAGAGAGACAACTGCTCACCCTCAGTAAGGCCAAGACCCTGAAGTATCTCAAGCAGATAAAAGCAGCATACATGTGGTTAACATCTTCATAACTTCTTCCCATTGAAGATAATCTGTACATATATGGGAACCTTAACATTTAAAAAAATATACATTTTTATTGCTTTTGAATGAATACAACAATAAACGACTTGAACATAGAAAAGTCATACATCAGGTGTTCGTTAATGACCAGGCAATGCTACATCCTGCCAATGTTCCGTTTCGGCATAGAATATAGTCAGACATCGCATTCACATTGGACAATACAGTATGTGAAGATTGAACAAAAACATCAGAAATAAAGATCTGCACTGATTGTACTATACTCTACAGATAAATCTGTTCTCGTTTCATCATCTGCTAACATGTTATTTTCAGTTTTTGGTATTAACATAATGCAAAGAATACAGGGTGAAGTACATAGGGGATATTACCCTATAGGTAAAGTAAATTGTGATCCCAGTCAGGGGACTAGAGTTTGTCATTTTTTTTTCAGGCAGCTGAAGGCCACCCTTACATTTTTAGGAGACCTAAGATATTTCTTTCTAGTAAATGGAGAAATTTGGATATTTTCACCAAGTATGATGTGTATACAATGTAAATAATAATTCTTGTTTTACAGTATTTTCCTAGTGCATGCTACTTTCTTGACATGCCAATGTTGGTAGTAGCAATAGAACTCAAAGAAGTGGTAGCAAAGGAGAATAATGAGGACAAATCAAAAGTCACATCTCTGGCATTCTTACAATAAGCTTTTGTCTATTTTTTTGTTAATTAAAGCTTAAGACAGGATTATAGGGTCACAATTGATTAGAACTATCTGGTTCTCTTTGATAATATGGTTCAGTGCTGTGACTTTAATAGACTTTTGTTGGAATAATGGAAAAAAAGTAATAAATGGTTCTTGAAACAATTTACTTGTTAATGCAATGCATTGAACATAATCTCAGCTGACTATTTTATTTCTTTTTCTTTAGGGTGATTTTACATGGAACAGCATGTCTGGGCGCACTGTCCGTCTGAAATCAGTTCCCATACAGAGTCTTTCTGAACTGGAGCGTGCACGGCTGCAGGAAGTTGCATTTTATCGTCTGCAGCAAGATTTTGACTTAAGTTGTCAGATCACTATTCCCAAAGGTAAGGCCATGCTTTGATGATTTTTCATGGTAGCCGAGTGCATTTTCTTATAGACTGTTTGTGTTCTGTTATCACAAAAATCTTTATTTGCTCAGAATTGCAGTGGTTTGGTTATTCTTCAAACTCTCAGGTGGAACGTTTAAAGAAAAACTAAATCCAAAATAATATGTAGCTAGTTTATGAAATGTGTGTTTTTTGTACTAACATTCTATGTATTACTAGTGTGTATTATAATAAAGCTCAACTATAGACAGGCAAAAAAAGTTAAAGTGATTGTAAAGGTCCGTTTTTATAATGATACATTTTATCATTAAAAAAATTGTTATACTTATCTGCTCTGTGCAGTGGTTTTGCACCCAGCAGCCTAGATCCTGGTCTTATTGGATTTCCTTGTCGGCACTTCTGGCTCCTCCCCCCCTACACACACACAGAGTGCCCCCACAGCAAGCCACTGCCTATGGGGGGAACCCGTTTGTGCTAGCTCCCAAGCCCTGCTCTGTGTGTCCATGAGACACAGAGAGTGGGGCTCAGCCCTGCCCCCTGCTCCCGTGTTACTGGCTAGAATTGGCTCCCAATGCTGAGCCAATGAGAAGTGAGATAGCCGAGAGAAATGTCTCGTGCACATCGCTGTATCGAGATCAGGCTCAGGTATATATTTGGGGAGGGGCTTCGGGGGGAGCTGCATGCAGAATGTTTTTTACCTTGCTGCATAGAATGCAGTAAGGTAAAAAAAAACTTCTGCCTTTGCAACCACTTTAAGTTAGTTATGCTTCAATTAAATAGTGAGTAACATATGTCTGAAGCTAAAACTTTTTTTCCATTTTGGATAAAATATGGAAGGGTTAAAACTGATGTCAGTGTTTTTGCCACCTGTATCTCATTTTTGAGATTTTCCTTTATGTCCTGTCTTGTTAATGCAATGGGACGTGTTAGGATATCTTTTCAATGTGAGGAAAATCCCTTTTTAGATAGTTGTTGGAATAAGTGTCACCATTGGAAGATTTTCCCTTTATGTTCCGATTGCAACTCGGTTTTTTAGATTTTTTCTCACTTTCAATCTTCATGATATGGGCAATCAGGACAATTAGAAAGAATAAACCTTGCTAACAAAGACACAGGTAACAATATAAACCTGACTATGATTCTAACCTCTCACCAAACTGTAAATAAAAATATTTTCCTTTACCTATACTTCATCTGTATCCCTACATAGATCTTTAATAAGAACCTGACTATTTCTTGGAATCAGCCTCTTGTAATCCCCTGAAAACAGCACTTAGATGAGGAGGGAAAATATAGCACTCTTGAGACCTTCAGTGCTATACTGGATTTCAAGGTGCTGTCAGTTTAGTGCACATGCCTAAAGGAGGGGAGAGCACAGGAATGACCTCATTAGTATTCTGCCACTATTTTACTAGGCTGTGTTGGATCCTGGACCAGCCAGTAGTGCATAACTGCTTTGTAGTTTGCAGTGGTCCAGGACCCAATATGGATTTTACACTATTAAAGTATATGTAAACCCTCACCTTGTAAAACAAACCATACAGTACATACTCCCCAAGGGAGTCAAAGCAGAGACATCTCCATAGTGTAGTAAGTTTAGTAGTAACTTTATTAAGGTAAAACGCCGTGACGTCACGCCAGCAACGCCGTGACGTCATGCCGCCGGAGCATCGTGGAGCTCCGGCGGCCATCTTTAACACTGGACGGTTAGTCCACATTATCGCTTGTATATTTTTACTCTACACATCCTCGTTTTACCTTAATAAAGTTACTACTAAACTTACTACACTATGGAGATGTCTCTGCTTTGACTCCCTTGGGGAGTATCAATCCACAGTCATTCACCTGACCACTGGAGAAGGAGTTCCCTCTACCACTGCAGAGCAGTCCATAGGCTATCACCTGGAGGGTACACTGGACCACCTTGATAAACATCCAGGACCACTGAAGGGAGGATATTAGAGTCCAGACATCATCCTTGACTAGTAGATGACCACAGGAGAAACATATTCACAAACGCTCATTAAATTGTGCGTTCTGGTAAGTGTGCATTCTTTCTGCACCTTATCCCACAGCACCTTACTACCAGAAAGATACGAGTATATGAAGGCACCTGATGTCACTCAAAATCATCACATGAACTGTTTATATTTATTATTTATATTTATATTTTAGTGTTTGTTTCCAGCGCTGCACTTTTTGATTTATATGGTTTTGGAGGTTCTTATGGTTACCTGGTGTACAGCTGCTATATTGTCTTTTCAGGTGCGCTCGCACATATTTCTTATACAGTATTTCTTAGCTGCTGACTTTTATTTTTTGGGGGGAGACTAGAGCATCTCTTTAAGATCTCTATTTGGCTAACCAGAATGGAAAAATGCAGGTCTACATGCAAAAAATACTGCGTACGTTACACTATATTTTTCCCTAACACCTCTTAATGCAAAGAATTAATGTGCCCAGGCCCTACTGAATATAGTAGACTTTCTCATACCCATCGCAATTTGTCTGTTCGGGCATAAAAAAGCAAAATTCCAACAAATGCTCCTAGTATGAGTAAGCCCTAAGGGATTTCTTGTACTTCCTAATAAAATCATTTTAGCATTACTATGTTTAAGGAATTGGTGTGTCCAATAACATGCTTTCAGAAAGACATTGAACATGAAATAGGAGCTGTTTATATACCCTGAAATGAAAAAAAAAAAAGTGAAGTTCTAAAGTAACAGACATGGGGTCAAATGAAGTGCTCCCTGGCTTCCCAAGATATGCTGTTATCCCTAGAGCTTTGGAGAAAAACACTGAGACTTGTGAGTAAGAGAGAGAAATATTATGTGGGTTGAACTGTCTCTAATGATAACCCTTAAATCGTAATTTGTGTTAATACACACTTTGTCAGATCTCTCTCTCTCTCTCTCTCTCTCTCTCTCTCTCTCTCTCTCTCTCTCTCTCTCTCTCTCTTTCTCTCTCTCCTTTTATTACATAAAGCCACCAGCAGATGTTAATTGCTAGCTTTTAATATACATTTGACAATTAAGAAAAACACTAACATCAATTTGATTTTTGGCCATTCCTTTGGCTTTTTTTAAACTTGTTCCATAAATCTTAAACACCTCCATTACAATAAGTTAGACTAAGCACCTTCCTCTCTCAGTAATAAAAGCAAGGGTGCACTCAAATATTCCAGTGCCCAATGTCTTGGCATTAATACACTTCTTTAGGATGCCAGTTCAACAAAACACATAGAGGCAGAGTGACACATCTGCCACATGCAGGTCTATTGATTCGGCGTCACTTCTGATTCTGGCTATTGGAACGCACGCCAGCTCTTGAGAGTGGAGCGGCGGTGGAAGATCATAGCTAAGTGTATTAGTGCCGAGACATTGGGCATCAGAATGTGTGAGTGCACCCTTGTTTTTAATATTGCCTGATCTTAATAATCACTACACTATGAGAATGTATTTCCCTTGGCTTATGATGATTTATTGCAGAGGGATACTGCCATATTGGGATGGTACCTGGAGAATATAGAGAAGAAATCCACTGAGCTATAAAACCCTGGGGTAACAAATGCATTTGACCTTATTTTAATTATGGGGTCATGGACCATTGGTGAGTGCATTAAAGTGGCACACAGTGGTGGAGCACAAACAGGAATTTGCATGAAGAATATTGCCAAGCACTTTTTGTTTGCACACTGCATGGCGTGGGACTTTTATATAATTGATTTATTGAGTATATGATTTTGGTTTATTTTGGATATTGATATTTAATCACTTTTGGTTTATGTAAGTGCTGGACTTTTTGTTTATTTTTATTTAAACACCTCCATGCTGCATTATGTGTAACTGTAACAGTGGAATGTAGGCCAGTGAGTAGTAGCTGAGTATCCTGTTTGTAAGTGATGTATATACTGTAATGATTTTCCTACACTAGGAGCACCAAACAGCTTTAAAAATGTTAAGTCCATAGTGAGTTCATCTAAAGAAATAACTTTTTTGTGTGTCTTTGATAGAGAAGGGGTTGGGAAGGCTTAGAATGACTGTCAGATTTTAATGCCCCCATTAGGGAGATTAAACCTTTCTATCTGTCCTGTTGACTGGTGTCATCACAATAGAAGGTGAGGGAAAAATCCACACTTTTGAATAGCCACCAGAACAGAAATAGAGAGGAAATGTTTCAGTGAGGGCACTAGTGCTATGACAGATGTTCAAGAGGTGATTACCTCTTCGGTTGTGTTTGGAGGACAGGCAATGAAGACAAATCTGTGCAGTGGAATGCAGATGACAAGTTGATGGGTTTTTAATATTCCCTATCTTTTACAAAATGAAAAAGAAACATGGGGTTGCCTATTTACAACCCCAACTCCAAAAGGTTGGGATGCTGTGTTAAATCTACATACAAAAAGAACGCCTTGATTTGAAAATCTCATAAACCTATATTTTATTCACAGTGGAAAATAGAAAATATATAAAATTTTTAAACTGAGAAAATGCATTATTTAAAAAAAAAAAGTAAGTTCACAGACAGTGAGTTTTGGAAGTATTTCTGAGCGCATGCAGTGGTGTCGATCACAGACTCATGCCAGTTGAGGGCCCAAATATCCAATATTCTAATATCCAATATTGCATTCGGCCTTGTCCCTTTTGCATAGATTTCTCCAGATTCTTGGAAACTGTGGATGATATTATGTACTGTAGATGATGATATATTTACAGTCTTTGCAGTTTTTACGTTGAGGAACATTATCCTGAAATTGTTGAAACATTTTTAGATACAGCTTTTCACAGATAGCTGAGATGCTCTTTTTTATACCTAGTCGTGTTACTGACCTGTTGCCAATTAATCTAATTAGTTGGAAAATGTTCTTCCAGCTCTTGCTTGTTAGTACCACTTACCGTATTTTTCGCTCCATAAGACGCACTTTTTCCCCCCCAAAAAAGGGGGTAAAATGTCAGTGCGTCTTATGGAGCGAATATGGAGCGGCTGGTCCGGTATTTCCACCGCCACCGTGTCAGAATACCGGGCCAGCCACTCAGCTCTGCAGCAGGACCTTACCTGTTCCTCGGTCCAGCGTTGCAGTCTTCCCGCACCAGCTTCTTTAGTGTGGGCTCTCGGATTGACAGCCGGGTGCCCAGTGCGCATGCACGAGAAGCGCTGCACTTTGTGAATGGCACGGCGTCTTCTGGGACACATGACAGGTCTAAAGGGAGGACAACTCCGCAGAAGTGGGAGCAGGTACCTGTCAAATTCAGGTACCCGCTCCCCCTCCCTCCCGAAAGGTCAGCAGTCTCTTAGTTATCTCCTGTACTGTCCGCAGCCTCTGGTCATCTCCTGTACTGTCCGCAGTCTCTGGTCATCTCCTGTACTGTCCGCAGTCTCTGGTCATCTCCTATACTATGTCCGTAGTCTCTTAGTCATCTCCTGTACTGTCCATAGTCTCTGGTCATCTCCTGTACTATGTCCGAAGTCTCTTAGTCATCTCCTGTACTGTCCGTAGTCTCTGGTCATCTCCTGTACTGTCCGTAGTCTCTGGTCATCTCCTGTACTGTCCGCAGTCTCTGGTCATCTCCTGTGCTATGTCCGCAGTCTCTGGTCATCCCCTGTACTGTCTGCAGTCTCTTAGTCATCTCCTGTACTGTCTGCAGTCTCTGGTCATCTCCTGTACTATGTCCGCAGTCTCTGGTCATCCCCTGTACTATGTCCGCAGTCTCTGGTCATCCCCGGTACTGTGTCCGCAGTCTCTTGGTCATCCCCTGTACTGTCCGCAGTCTCTGGTCATCTCCTGTACTGTCCGCAGTCTCTGGTCATCTCCTGTACTGTGTCCGCATTCTCTCGTCATCCCCTGTACTATGTCCTCAGTCTCTGGTCATCCCCTGTACTGTGTCCGCAATCTCTTGGTCATCCCCTGTACTGTCCGCAGTCTCTGGTCATCTCCTGTACTGTCCGCAGTCTCTGGTCATCTCCTGTGCTATGTCCGCAGTCTCTGGTCATCCCCTGTACTGTCTGCAGTCTCTTAGTCATCTCCTGTACTGTCTGCAGTCTCTGGTCATCTCCTGTACTATGTCCGCAGTCTCTGGTCATCCCCGGTACTGTGTCCGCAGTCTCTTGGTCATCCCCTGTACTGTCCGCAGTCTCTGGTCATCTCCTGTACTGTCCGCAGTCTCTGGTCATCTCCTGTACTGTGTCCGCATTCTCTCGTCATCCCCTGTACTATGTCCTCAGTCTCTGGTCATCCCCTGTACTGTGTCCGCAATCTCTTGGTCATCCCCTGTACTGTCCGCAGTCTCTGGTCATCTCCTGTACTGCCCGCAGTCTCTTAGTCATCTCCTGTACTATCCGCAGTCTCTGGTCATCCCCTGTACTGTCCGCAGTCTCTGGTCATCCCCTGTACTGTCCGCAGTCTCTGGTCATCCCCTGTACTGTCCCAGCAGTCTCTGATCATCCCCTGTACTATGTCCGCAGTCTCTGGTCATCTCCTGTACTGTCCGCAGTCTCTGGTCATCTCCTGTACTGTCCACAGTCTCTGGTCATCCCCTGTACTATGTCCGCAGTCTCTGGTCATCCCCTGTACTGTGTCCGCAATCTTTTGGTCATCCCCTGTATTGTTCGCAGTCTCTGGTCATCCCCTGTACTGTCCGCAGTCTCTGGTCATCGCCTGTACTGTCCGCAGTTTCTGGTCATCTCCGGTACTATCCGCAGTCTCTGGTCATCTCCTGTACTGTCCGCAGTCTCTGGTCATCCCTTGTACTGTCCGCAGTCTCTGGTCATCCCCTGCACTGTCCGCAGTCTCTGGTCATCCCCTGTACTCTCCACAGTCTTTTGGTCATCCCCTATACTGTCCGCAGTCTCTGGTCATCTCCTGTACTATGTCCACAGTCTCCGGTCACCTCCTGTACTGTGTCCGCAGTCTCTGGTCAAACTCCTGTACTGTGTCTGTAGTCTCTGGTCATCTCTTGTACTATGTCTGCAGTCTCTGGTCATCTCCTGTACTATGTCTGCAGTCCATTGGTTCAGAATATTTTTTTTCTTGTTTTCTGCCTCTAAAACCTAGGTGCGTCTTATGGTCAGGTGCGTCTTATGGAGCGAAAAATACGGTACTTTGTCGGCTTTTTGTCGTCCAGGCCTAACATTTTTGAGGTGTGTTGCTGCCATTGATTTCAAAATGACCACATGCCAGCTTAAGGCTATGGACTAGGTTCAAATAGCATGTGACACATAAATCGGGGAATGATTCTCCTAAGAATGAAAATGCAAGCTTTTTATCTTTCTCTATAACAGTTTGTAATGAAAGTAATGTACCAGCCACTCCATGCAGCTGTAGTTGTTTTTCTCATTTTTTTATACAAAAAAGGAAAAGGCGATACCAACAGCAGAATAGGAATCTGCTTATCAGGTGACCAGGCATGGTGATGCTTGCATACACAAGACTTTTGGAGATGGTGCCACCAGACAAGGAAATACTTGTGTAGGGAAGTAGGCATGGCAGAGTTTACCTGTATGTGCCTACATGATTAGGATATATATTTCTTTTTGTCTTGGGGCAGAAAGTAAATATGGCAATTACATTTATACCATTCAGCACCTAATTAAACAAAAATTATGGAAATTCATAGGCTCCAAACTGATCTTAATGGTTGTCTTTAGTAGGTGCTTTGTCAGAAGTTGTCTGTAGGGTGCAGACAGTTTCTTGTCTTGGAGATTGGAAAAGCTTAGAGTGGCCTATGTGTGCATTTCTTCCTTGTAAGCAATTAGTACTTGCACATTTGTAATCTGAATTTAATCTAAAAGATGCATGGGATATGAGCATTTTATTGCATGTTTTAGAAATGGGTCAGCCCCTATGAGGGCTAGCCCATAATGCCTGTCTTTGTACAGTATCTATAGTCAACCTTGCAATTTGCGACAACATATTAATTAGCTGTACTTACACAGACAACTAGTTCTACCAAAAAAGACTGTGTCCTTTGCCATTGGTAAAGTATGCATAAAATATTTTTAGTATGGTAGGCAAAAAGAATTCTGTAGGCTACTTTTGTGTTTTGAGAGATTAGATAGTCTGGTTAGTACTGGTAGAAGGTAAAGACATGCTGTTCTTGGACAAGTGAGCATTATGTTTCCATAAACAGTCCTGTACTTAATAGGCTGCAAACTTCGTTTTTCTGTGTTATTTTTATGTGCTCTGTACTCATCATATACAAGCTGTTTGGCAGCATATACTGAAAGTGTGTATGAACCACCATTATTGTAACATTTCCCAGCTAAATATTTTTAAAGCTTTCTAAACTTTGCTTTGTTAATTACAAACGTAAGTTTTTCTAGTCTTATCATCCCCAAATGACCCTACAGCGTCTGCCTGGGATGTTTTTTGTGTATATTTTCCTTGTTCCTTGTAGCGATTTTTGATGAAGGACTCCGTTTAAATGATCTTTGCATTCATTAATGTGCTGACATAGTTAAAAGTTCTCAGATGGTTTTGTCCCATATAACTGCAGCTTAGAGGTTTATGCACTAAAGCAATAAACAATGTGCAGAGAGCAGTAACAAATTACAACTGCCGAAGGCAAGTAGGAATGTACCTTACTGAATAAACCCAAAAATTCCTAAAGCAGACCTAGTCCATTGCTGTCTTAACTGGACAAATATTACAATGGACCCTGTGGTCTAGCCCATTTACTGTATGTAAGGATATCTTCAAAACATTACTGCCAAGAAGCTATCTTCTCTTCTATGGCAATTTATAATCATAAAAGGAAATATGCACCACTGAACTAACTGAATGAGGTGTTAAATGACATTTCAACTATGACACCTTAACTTCAGAAATCCTCAAAACCCTGGTCTCCAAGTATAACTACACTGTGTGTACCACTACGCCGTGGTAGTTCAATGAAAACTGCAAGTCGACAGCCACTAAGACTGACGGGACTTGCAGTTCATTCATTCACAGAAGTCCGTGAATGAATCATGCGGCCATGTGGGCGGAGCCCCACACAGCCACCGTGTTAACAAATGTGACAGATAGCATGGGGAGATAACCAGTTATCTATTCATTGTTTACTGCAAGATACACCAAGCTACAAGCATTAAAGTAGAAGGAAAGGCTATGCAATCACTTAATGTTGCCTTCCCTTCTGCATATAGTTAGTTATAAACATTAACCGCTTGCCAACCGCCTTATAGCAGAAATACTGCTACAGGGAGGCAGCAGTGTGCAAAATCACGTACATATACGTGATTTTGCATTACCGAGCCACGCACGTGCCCTACCCGCACTGTTATTCACGGCTGCTGCTGTCAATCACCAGTCCCTGACCGCTAATTACTCGCCGGCATCCGGTACTTTCCAAGGATCTCCGCTGAGGAGGAGGACTGTTTTGTTTACTAAAAGTCCTCCCCCCCTGTCAGCTCGGGTACATTGCTGTGAATGGATGTGTAAGCACAGCCATCCACAGCAGTGTGCTTACAGTGAATCACACACACACTGCCCCATAGTAAAACTCTCCCAGCACACAGTTAACCCTTTGATCGCCCCTCATGTTAACCTCTTCCTGCCCAGTGCCATTAGTACAGTGTCAGTGCGTTTTTTTTTAGCACTGATCACTGTATTGGTGTCACTGGGGATTTCAGTGACACCAAGTCAGTTCCCCCCAGTGTCAGAATGTCCGCCACAGTCCCGTTATAAGTCGCTCATCGCCGCCATTACTAGTAAAAGTGAAAAAAAAAAAAAAATCCCAGTATATATACCGCCATTTGTAAATACTATAACTTTCACACAAACCAATTAATTTACACATATTGAGATTTTTTTTTAGCAAAGACTTAACAGAATACATTTTGGTGTAAATTATGATGAAATTTGATTTTTTACATTTTTTTACTGGACATGTTTAATAGCAAAAAAATTTAAAAATATTGTTTTCTTCTCAAAATCGTCGGTCTTTTTTTTATAGTGCAAAAAAAATAAAAAACACACAGGCGATCAAATACCACCCAAATAAAGCTCAATTTGTGGCAAAAAAAGGGCGTACATTTCATTTGGGTGCAGCGTTGCATGACCGCGCAATTGTCAGTTAAAGTATCGCAGTGCCGTAATGCAAAAAATGGCCTGGTCAGGAAGGGGGGTAAATCCTCAGGAGGGCAAGTGATTAATGTAAATATTCGTAAATGACTACAAATAAAATGTAAAAACTACGGTCAGATTGCCTCCCTGTGCAACACCACTGAATCCTTCGAGTAGTGACATCTACCGACTGCTGTCCATAGCTTTAAGGTGTTGTCAGCCCTGAAAGAGTTATTGTCCCCCTTCTGCACAGACAACCAAGCTTGCCAGAGCTTTATGGTCACAGACCGCTTAGAAAAAAATTAAAACATTTATTTATATTGACATTTATGGCAAACTATATGCAGCAAATATAAGGACAGTGGGGAGGCATAATTTAAAGGGGGGTTATTTCAAAGCCTTTCCTTCTTCTTTAGTTGGGAAGAAAATGCATGGTATGTTAAATACAGAGTGGAAAGTAGTACTGCTCATAAGCAGACTGCTATCTAATGAAAACTATCTCTATTGTACCTGATACAACTCCTTTAAACTGGCTTTAATATTCAGATCTGGGTTTCTCCACCGTATTAAAATAAACTTGGCATTTCTGTGTTTATACTTCCACAGAGTACATTCTCCTAATTGATGCCATGAGCTTTTAACATTTTACAGTGTAAATAACTGCTTATATAGACATCTACACAATAGATTTTATGTAGCTTTTTCAAACACTGTGGCATCGGATTTTTTAAACATACTTCATACTGAATGATTTACTGATTTAGATGGTGGTTTGCTGATTGTGGTACTTGGCTCAGCTCTGGTTTACAAGTTCTGGTTTTAACATGTATG